AAAATGAAAAAAAAAAAATAAAAAAAAAAAAAAAGGAAAAAAGAAAAGAGGAGAGAGAAAGAGAGGGAAAAAAAAGGGAGGGGCCAAAGGCAGAGAAAAAAAGCTCTGTTTTTTCGCTTTAATCAATGACTGTGCCCTGTCTCTCCTCGTCTCTCACACACATTGTTTCCCTTTCAACATTTTCAACCTTTTCAACATTTTCAGGTTTTAATGTTCATCAGAAGCGAAGAAGAGATTAGAGATTCTGAAAATCTCCTCAGCTTATCAAACTCCCATTCAATTCCCCATACAACGAACAACACCGTAACCCACCTCCATTAATGCCCTCATTTTCCTTCTTCCTCTCTTCCTTCTCAATCCCATTTCCCCTCCTTTTCTTCCCACTCATTCCTCCTCTTCTAGGGTTTTGAAACCAAATCATTCCCGTTCCCCCCCCCCCCTTTCACCTGATTACATCATTAAATTCCCTTCCTAATCCCTCTCTTCTTTTTCGGAGCTGTAAAAAAACTCCCCTCTCTCTCTCTGTTCATCATCTTCTCTACCCCTCTGGGTTAATAATTCTTCCCTTTTCTTTTCTGGGTTTTCTCTTTTTTCCCCTATTCTGCCTTGCTCTTCTTCTTCTTACCCTTCCTTTTCTCCTTCTCTTCATAGTGTGGTCGTTTCTTGCGTTTCTTTTTCTGGGGTTTTCTTCTTCTTCATCATGGACTAGAATGTGGAAGATCTGATTCTGTTTTTCACGTTTTCTGGGGGATCCATGTCTTGCTTTGCTCCCCTTTACCCTGATCGAGTTTTAATGGCGCCTTCCGATTGACATTTGGTTTTCCCTCTTGGCTGCAACTATATTTGTTGTCTCTCAAAATGCCTTTTTCGAAGCTTGATGATTCTCCTATGTTCCGCAAGCAGGTCAGCTCTTCCTCTCCTTTTCAACTTTATAATTCATGTGTGTGCGCTTTTTTCTTAATTTCATCTTCTCTATTGAGTTCAATTTTTCTGGGTATTAATTATCATCCGGTTTCTGAGACATACAAGGAAACTAGAGGAAGAAGTTTTAGGGTGTTAATAAATTTCGATGAACCCGTCTGTGAATCCTGCAAACCGTCCTTTTCTTTTAATGAACACTTTCCATATTTGTTTCATGGCCAAGCAAGCGGTCAATATCATTTTGGAAAAGTTCCTTTAATGAACGGATATGCCACTTATATCCATCGTCCTTCAGTAAATTA